TAAGAATTTGGCCTGAAATGTTAAAGAAGATGAGAGATCTTAAAATGACCCCGCCTGTAAATTCAAAGTTAATGCTGCCACTGTGTCTCTAACTCACATCACTGGGGTATTTTTATTGTTACTACTACAGTGGCAAGGATTATTTAAAGACTGATTTAGCTGCAAAGAAAGGCAGTCTTCAGGACTTCTGACCTTTTACATTGGCGTATAAGTGTTGTATCTTAGATCCTGTCACGCTGTCTAGAATGGGTCACAACTGATTAGAGGTAAAATACCTGCCGTGGACAGCCCACTGGACTTGGGTTCAAGGCACATAGTGGCAGAGTTGAGAACAGAGCCTGACTCACTGTGTGATCTTGGCACATCACTTAAACCCTTTCCAGAGGGTCTATCCCCAACTGTCATATGGGGGATAAGAATGCCCTCTCACCTTGTAGAGCACTCTGAGAGCTATGGGAAAGTGCTGTATCTGGGCTAAATGGTGTTGTTGATTTATCAAGCAATAACCATCAGCTCTGTGAATTCTAAGAAAGAACAATGTGCCAAGAATTTAACCATTATAGCCACAGAATTTCCAGTTACATTTTCAGTACTTTGATGTTACTGTCTGATTCCAAGCAGCACACTTATTTTTGGAGAGAAGAGGGAAAAAGCCAGATTTTCCTGCTATTAACGTGTCTTCTTCTTGGTCTTGTACAGGTGCCAGTACCAAAAGAGCTAGAGTGAAACACCAGAGTCTCCTGAAAGAAACAACTTGAAATAAAGACTATTCAAGTTTCACTTACAATGGTTTCAAAGGATGCTTTCTTCAGAAGCCAAGGGGTAGATACGAACACGTGGGAACAATGCTTGTAATACGCAGTCTGTTGATACGATGATGAAAAAGGGTGGAATGGAACAAGTCAATGCGAAAAGAATTTCCATCAGCCATTAAGTAACCATGATGCCCTGGTATAATCTGTCTTCCAGTTGGATTCTAGTCTCCAGTTTGTCCAGAGGTATTTGCCCAGCAACAGCAATAACTTAACAGGTTTTACAGATTCAGTCAATGAACTCTATTGCTTACATGATACTTTCTTCTGTTAAATTCTCCTGCAACACATAGTGCCCTATTGTGACTTTCCTTTATCACACTGTTGTATGTCACTGGCTTTTTTTTTTTAAACTAAGAACATGATTTCTATCTACACAACTTATATTTTCAGTCCAGAATTTTCATTTTTAGACTGAGGAAACATTACACACAAAAAAAGAGCAAAAATGCCCTGTCTAGGAGAGAGCACAGTGTGCATTTCTTCCATGACAAACTGCAGTAGTTCTGAGAACAAAATGGCTGCCATCTCTGCAAACAGGCAGAGTTCTTAGAAACTTAAAGGCACAGTACACAGGGAAAAAAAAGAAAGTCGTAACAGTTTCAAACTTCATACTCCATAGAATGTGTTCTGGCAAGTATTCTGTCTGGTTAGCATTTAAAACATGAAACCATGAGCTGTATTGGGAGCTGTGCAATCATTGTTCTCCTGGCAGATTCTCTCTATCCTTGCTATAACCCTGAACTGTTTCACCACCCCCAGGCTTCAAGCCACACATTGCAGTCACCTTCTGAGAATAGAACAGGACTGTTTCAGATGTCCTTCAATACTCCTGATTAACTGGCCACAGTTGCTGCTACTGAGTATTGTTGGGCCCTTGCCCTCTTCCCTCTGCTTGGGACTCAAACTGCCTGCCAGTTTGAGGAAGGAACTGAATGTCTCGCTTGCGTGGCGAGGCCAGTGCAGAGCTCTAGATGGAGGTAACTGCACTCACCCATCCTTGCACAACTTAACTGTTTTGAAATATTCCGATGGGAAAAAATGTTTTAAATGGTCAAAGAGACTAAGCGTGTGAAATCCCCCTGAGTTTCTCTTATCTTTAAGGAATCTCTCTTTTCTGGATACTTGCCCTTTGCTACCAGGCATGCTGTTGTATACCCCCTACTTCAGTCTGTTTGTACCAGCCTATCCATTCTCTCTCTCTTGTTGGTTACTCTCTCTGCTTGATTCCCTATCTGCCAACTCTCCTCTTGCTCCCCACAAAATTTCACTCCACGCAAACCAGCCTCACCAAGTCCATTAATGGCCTACTCTGCCTCTCGTAGCTAAGACACAGGGCTGGGTCTTGCTCTTTATTCCCTTCTTGGTCTGCCTACTACTGCTGCTCAGTTCCTCCTCTTCTTGTCTGCATGTCCTTGGCCATTCAATAATCTGACTTCTTCTTTCTGCCGCTCCTTTGGTTTCTCCTTATCCTTCCCTTCTTGCTCAATATCACCAAAGCTCTACAAAATCTTCTGCCCGCCAGCTTGCATTTCTCTTACACAATCCATACTCCCTTCCCAAACCGCTTTTCTCCTTCTCACAGCTTCATATCCTGCTGCTTCCACATAGGGAACAGTTGCCTTCTTCATGCCATCAACCCTCTCCTTTCAAACCCACCTGTCCAACTTTGTTCAATTCCCCTCCCCCTGCTGTCTGATTCCTTTTAAGGCTCTTGGGGGGGAGGCACATGCAGGCAGGGAGCTCAATTTATTGTTTATAAGGTACTGTATGAATTTACAGTACAAAGGGATTTTTTAAACTATGATTCAACATTGCTTGTGCAAATGTTGAGAGGAAAACCTAGTTTTACTTTATTTCTCATTTACAGCTGTCACATGAAGAGAATATTCTAACTGGGATGTACCAGTGTTGTAGTCTCTCTCTTCCAATTGAACAACTAGCAGAAAAAGAAGCATGGTCAGGAAGAGCCAAAGTGGCTTTGAGCCACTCTAATTCAGCTCTGTTCCCAGAGCCGATTCAGGACTCAGCCTAAGTTGAGCAGCTTTTCAAGGGTCCGTCTGGAGGGAAGCGTGCGCCTTCACCAACGCCAGCCAGAGAGGGTGTGAGGGATGACAGAGCTGCTGCAGTGACCCTATGCCATCAGCCGATCCCTACATGAAGGGAATGCTCCCAGGGCCGGTTAAGGTGATTTTATGGCTGATCATTCTAGTGAATCAGGCTCCTCATGTTCATGTAAAATTTTCAGAGTGCTCCTAATGTCTACACTGTGTAGTAAAGAGAGGGAAGCAAATGAACGATAAGAGCTGCTCTGCACTCTCACAACATGGAAGGGTGGCTAAGTGTTTGGAAGAAACTAGGGCAACCCCATCCCTTCCTTTGAGGGAAGGAAAAGCAAGCAAAAGCCCATCACTACCTTATGTGTAATCACAGGTGGGACCATATGCTAATATGGCATGCAGGCCACATTCAGGCAGGAATTGGCACCATAGATTAAAGATGCAGAAGGGACCTATATGGAGAAGAGACTGGAACATGCATCTCAGTGGCATCAACACAACCCTTGCTTGTGAGTGCAAGAGAGTTCAGGGGAAGGTGTGGCCAAAGCAAAGGTAGGTGGAATCTAGGGAAGTGCCACACAAAAATGGTGCCTTCTGAAAAGGCACAAGGGCAGGCTGCCAAAACAAGTTGGCTACTTTTCACAGCCATCAGTTCCTACTGTAAGAGAGGAATGTGCATCAGGAAAAGATCCCATCTCTCACCCTGTCAGAAAGCATGCAAAAGCAAACACCTGGAGGCTTATAGCACTACCCCCATTCAAGCCCTGCTCCACAGGAGGACTGGTTTGTTTCAGAGCAGACACTCACTTACCATTGAAGTTTATCCACATTGGACTGAGCCTCATGGTATGCAGATCTATTAGTGCCTTGTAGGTTTCTACAGTTAGCGTGGTCATGTCTGGTGTCATGCTATTTCACAGGGTTCAGGGCTGAAGGGTGGTTTTGGGGATGCGGATCACATCACGATCCTTTTCCTTCAATGAGTTATATACACATTACCACATCAGCTACTTGCAGTCTCCTACCTCAACCCTAATAGGATTGCACTACTTTTTCCACTGCAAATACCTCTGCAGACTCCTCATCTTCAATAGGGTTGGAAAAAGGTAACTGAACCCATCTCCCACCCTTTTCTGATGGCCACTTATAGTTCCTGCCAAGCATATTTGGGTGGGGCATAGCTTCTTCTTAAAAAAAAGAAATCCAACAATACCTGCCTCACTCTTGCCTTCTGTACTTCAAGGTCCCAATGGATTCTGCTAAGGCCAGAAATAGGATCAAACTTCAAGGATAAGGGGTTGCTGTAGGCTGTGTGCCCCACCCCCCACAAAACCCAGTAGCAGATACTAACTGGGATTATTGTTATTGTAAAGGTACAATCTGTTATCTTGTATAGGAAGGTGTCCCCCTTTGCTTCAATTTCCTTTGAAGACATATAGCAGTTTACCTCTTTCTATTGCAGAAGCTGCATGTGTACACATACAAATCAGGCTCCACCCCGCTGCATATAGTGTACTGATTTACTCCCACTTAGTCTGAGGTTTTGGAGAGGTGTTGTTTTTAAGTTGGGAGATGAAGGCAGAAATCTTCTCCCTTCAAGCCGTTTCTAAAGTAGAAATTTAGTTAGGTAGGGGGGAAACTGAAAATTATTCATATAAGGTAGCTGTGCTCTGTACAAGCACTTTGGAGTTTTTGTGCTATTTGGTATGCTAAAGGCTTTAAAAAAAGGTCGGACATCCAAACACTGGAAAATTTTGTTTAACAAAAAACAAAAACCAACTGTACACCACCCAGCTTGGTAAGCATACCATTTCTCAAAGTAGTCCAAAGAGGCTGCCGTCCCTACTCTCCTCCACCCAGAAACCCACTCACCTAGAAGGATACAAATAACCTTAGTGCTCTACTGCAATGACTCACTATGGCATGTTCCAAATCCATTCCCTTTTTAAAAAGGAAAGATGACCCACAGTGCATTGTGTTGTGCTTTTGTTATATGTAAAGTAGTGACTATAGTTCAAAAAACAAAAAAAGTTGGTCACTTAAACTGAATCATATTATTGTAGAGTAGTGTGATCTTGATTAAAGTCACTTTTCTGCATCATTAGTTAAAAAAATGCAATAAATGCACTCTGTTTTAACAATGGTTAAACTTTATTCTTCACAACTAATTTTTAAAATTCTACAATGTAACCATATATTCATGAAGTCATAGGCTAGTATCTCTTCTGTAAGTGTAGCAAGAATTACTCATCGAAAGCTAAGACAATGTACTATAATAAAGGAGCAGGTCATGGCTTCTTACCCTGGAATATACACGTAAAGAAGCTTCTAATAAATACTGATCACTCTGGAACATTTGTATGGAATGAGGTGTTCAGACTCCAAAACAATTCATTTGGAAGAGACCCCAGGTGTGTGCGCACGTGCACACTGATGCGTCTTGTACACATGAACTTTGAAGAGGTTTTTGGGATATCTGCTGTACCTGCCATGTAAATCAAGTCAGTTACAGATAAATACTTCATAAAAAAAGGGAGGAGAGATGCAAGACTGATGGTTACATACTATGTTAATCTGCATAAGTTTTTCCATGCATATGGTTTAGGTAGCACAGACTGCAGTCAAGCTGAAGTTTACTGAAGCTATTTGTAACAATAGCTCTTGAAAATAATTGCTTACATGAATTTGGGAATGGTTTTAAGAACATGTAATTTGTTTTTATTTACAAGTCTGAAATCTGGTCTTATTTCCCTTGAATAGAGCCACAAGTAGAATAAATTAGCAAGATGTATGTTTTAGCCAGTGTCTTCTTTAAACAGGAAGAGTCAGAGCACAATTTGGACAATGAGGTAAGTCCTAAAATCTCAAGGGACAGTTTTAAAACAAAAAACAAAACAAAACCAGAACTCCAAATAAGAGTCTCCTAGCTATTCTTACAGTCCACAGGTTTTTTTTTTAAGTATTAAAAGAAAGAAGAAACCAATTGCAAAAACCCACACCTTGTAAGTGTGAAATTGTGGCTCTATTGAAGGCAATTGCAAAAAAGCTTTCATGGACCTCAAGAGAGCCAAAGATGTCAGAGACATTTAAGGCTCATAATAACCTTCAGAGACACATGTGCCTCTCCTACTGAATTCAGTCAAATCTGCATCCGTGCTTTGTAGGCAGAGCTGGACAAGGGAGCTATATAGTTTACATACGTTGCCCATTTAGACTTGGATCTCCTGCTATAAGAAATATTACATTTTATGAGCATGCGAGGTGACTTGTGTGCTCTGGTCAATTTATTCTTTCCATTTGCTACTTCAGATAATAAGATGGCTTGACTATAACCTGCTTGAAAAGGTAAGCTGACAGGAGGACACCCCCTAGAGGTTTTTTTTTGGGGGGGGGTGGGGGGGAAAGAAATGAAAAAAAAATTTTTATTGGCAGAGCTTTCAGCCAGTCCTGACTGCCAGATTTTTGTCTGGTGACATTTTTAGCCAACTGGTAGTGCACTAAACAGCCCCACCCCTATATCATTCCTCCAATGAAGTGCATTATAAATACTTAGACATGACACTGGCTACCAAGAACAGGTTCAGAGACTGCAATTCATGTTTGTTTCCCCCGCCAGAAAACAAGTGCTTTAAAAACAGTTGGTGCATATGTATGCAATACCAAGACATTTTACCATACTCTAGAAAGGTGAGTCTCTCCTCCCCAGCCTTAGAGGAGCCCTGCATAGCTTTGTATACCTGTATCTTGCCATTTTCAATCTATACAGTATGTGCATCTCAGACAAATTGAAAGCAAGCTTTGACAAAAGTAAATAGAAACTAAATTCCTGCAACAGGTAAGAATGCCATATTATGTGCATCTTATTCCTTCACTTTAGCAATGTAGTCAGCCAGTTTGTTGATGTTCTCTTCCTGCTGTTCAAGGGCATCAAGTACTATGCCCATAGGGGTCTTCTTCAAACCTATTCCTTCCATTTTATTCTCCAGTTTGTTCTTTATGCTCCGAAGCCTCAGAGATGCATGGATAAATATCACTAAGAACAGAAATACATGTTTGTTAACTGACATGCCCCCATTGAATACTTAGCTCTTCAGTATCTCTCAAAGCACTTTGAATGACTTTGTAAATGAGCGGACATCCAAAAGTAGGAAGCTGAAAGTCTAACACATATGTACTGATATGGTCTGCTTAAGAAGTCATGTAAGTATATGTCTACCTCCAGTATAGTTTATTTCTTAAAAGGAAAGCATTAGATTCCTTCAAGTTTCACTTGCTAGCAGCCTTGAAAGTCAATTGTATAAAATTTGTTTTGGGACCATTTTTAAAACCTCAAATTTCATATACTAAGTGGAGCCAAGGGTTAATTCAGAGTGAAGAGACTTGAGCTTTTAGTTTTAGTCATTAAGGGGGGAGAGGGGAGGGAGAAAAGCTATACTTACACAGTAGAGGAAATGTTATCCCAAATATGAACACCATGACACCTCCAAAATAGGATATCAAGAAGTAACTAGACAGCAGGATGGCTACCACAAACGCAGTTGGGTACTGCTTCTTGAACTTGCGAAGGATGTCCTTGTTGTGTGATGCCCACACAAAGCCTGTGAACACCAGCACCACTATGGTGCCACCAAGGATCATGTTCAGTGGGCTCAGAAATCTGGAGAGAAAGTGAGGGAAAGTTTGACCAACATCTTCATTTTATAACATATGAGTTACGCATTCAGCTTGAGTGTCTCCCTATTGCATGATTAAGAAGATGGAGACAGTTGACAAGGCTTATGCTTCAGTGCCTCAGAACCCTTATCAGCCAGCTTCGGACATTCACATGTCGCGCTTTGTTAGCCATAATGTTGTCATGCAGAGACCGCAAGCCATTGGTAAGCGATGTGCTTAATTAGTATTGTTCTCATGTGTATTTACACACACTATTCTCCCCCTGCCCTGGTTTTTGGAGGAGTTCAGTGCTCATGAAAGCAAGGAACTCACATCTGGCTAAAAAGAATCCTGAAGGCATCAGCACATCTCAACGCCACCCACCCATTTCACTCCTGGGCCTTTGCTGAGCAGCAGCAGACGGACAGTCATGCCAGATAGCATGATGGTCTAGTACTTGCTGGGACCAGTCTTCTCCATTTGTGGCTTAGAACAGGATCTAACCTAGTCTTCAGGAGGTGAAAAACGCTAGTGATGACCTACTGTACTGCCTTTAGCTTCAGATAGGTTTAATTTACATTCCCCGTTCCCCCTCCCCCCATATTATGCAGAATGGGACTTTTACTTAGACTATATCTGAAGATTTAGAATACAAATAGAAGTCAAAGAGATGCAGAGATATCACGTGTGTCAAATCAAGGTGGTGTGTATCCCTAGGTAGGGCAATTACTTTCATCAGCAAACTGCAGGTAGCATGTGCGTCTCAGGGTCAGAAGGAACTAGGGTCTAGGATAGAGGTCCTGCAGGGAAGTTCTAGAAACAGCCCAGTTCAGCAAGAAAGCCAAGACTGGAAACAGAACATTCAACTTCAGATCGTGTGATAGAGGAGACACACTGGACAGACCTTAATTAACATTACTAAGGTAAGTTCAATCCTTTGAAGCCCTATTGTATTTAAAATGCAATTGCTTGTATGTTATTGTGAGTCTATGCAACTTTGGGTACGTTCATGCACTTTCTCTGGTTATCAGCCCTTTGAAGAACCCCCGAGAGGTTTGTATATTGTTGTTCCAACTAGATTCTCCAAACAAAGAATTTTTGGATAAATGGCCTGGTTTTAAACTGGCTCAGGGCCTTTTATCTGGTGCTGCAAACAGACAGGACCCCAGTCCTTAGAGAAGGATTGGAAGAACTTTGGCCTACTGAGGCCCCATAAGACAGCGTTAGTTCCAAGGTGAGACTTAAGAACTTGGGCACTGGTATGAGGGGTCTCTTGTGGTCACATGTTAGAGACATTTGGTGGGCAGGGGAATTGCTGGTAAACTTATTAGCATGTGTGTAGGTTTTTATATTGTTTACTATGTTTTCTCCATAATCTTACATCCCAAGAATAAATAGGCTTGCACAGTTAGTGCTATGGTACCATATCCTGAGCAATTACCCCATAACAGTGAGGAGAAAGACAAAGCAGGTGTGCTTAGGCAGACTCTTTTGCTGGAACAACACAGTGAAGGCAGTGGAACTGTTTAGCCTGGAAATGCTCTGCTCAGGATGGAGAGAGACATGGGTCTCCAAAGAAGGGCTTCTTGCTCCCTGGCCATTGCCTGAGAGTGGGTGTCCTTGCTGGGCTATAGAGGAAAAAAAAAAAAACAGATGCAGTTGTCCTGAACTATGACAACTAGACAACCAAAACTCCAGGATGGGAGTGAGTTTAGGAGTATCTGGAGTAGGGTGGGAACTCCACCTGCTCTCACCACTCTTCAGTTATGTGTAGGCCATTTTTTTCTGCCCCTCCCCTAACCGTAACTTGCTTAGCCTGCTACTAATTTTTGCTTATGAAGTGCAATCTCTTAGTCTATTAATGCATAAGAATGACCACACTAGGTCAGACCAATGTACTATCTTGTCCAGTACATTGGCAATGGCCAGTGCCAGATGCTTCAGAGGGAATGAACAGAACAGGGCAATCATCCAGTCTCAGCTTCCATCAGTTGGAGGTTATGGTTCACCTGGAATATGGTGTTGAATCCCTGACCATCTTGGCTAATAGGTAAGCTTATGGAGGATAGGTCCATCAATGGCTAATTCTTTTTTGAGCCATTTATACTTTTGGCCTTCAAAACATCCCCTGGGAATGACTTTCACAGGTTGACTGTGCATTGTGTGAAGTACTTTGTTTGTTTTAAGCCCACAGTTACAAACAGAACAGTTCTTATGACCAAGATGATCCTGATTTGCCACTGTCAAATGGGCGTCATCCCTACTATAACAATTCCAGTATTTCAGGCCATAATTCATCTCAGACATAACCAGATGCAACACTAAAGCTAGGTGACCTGCCCACACTTACATCAGCACTAAGCTTGGCTCATCCCGTTGGACAACTGCAGTAGCATATGGTAGCATTTATAGTCTGTCCTTAATGTCCAACAAAAATGAAGAGCCATTTCGTACACATTATCTAGTTACATTGGCAATATTTGTATCCACTACTCTGACAAAGGGTTCCGTGGGAAAGGGGAAAACTAAATCACTTTGGTTTGAAACAACTCGTCTCCAGTTTCCTCTGTAGGTCAGCTGTCCCAACAAGGATGGGACAACTGGATTGAAAGATAAAAAACGCAAGTTAGCTGCCCACCTGCTTCTGTTATTCATGTCTGAGCTCCAGCAAGGCACACAGGAACTCTGATAGGGAAGGCCTGTTTGCAACATTTGAGTCATTTGTCTTGCAGTCAACCACAGACTATATTTAGGTTAAAACGGTCTCAAGCTCCCAGGCTGGAAAAAGTGACCAGCATTACTCCAGGCAGAAGTTATTTTAAGTCCGTGCTCTGCTGCAGCAGGATTTCTGATCAGACAACACTAGTAATGCTACTATATGTTTCAGAACCAAAGTGCTTGTGTATATATATATATTTATTTATTTAATTTATTTTTTAAAAGTCTAAATACACCTCCTTTCCCCCTCCACAAGGGGGATTAACCTTGTTAACTTCTATGAGAAATGACCTAGTCTGTTTAATAGTTTGCCAATAGCCGGTCACTAGATTTGGGTGCAGGAGGTAGAGCCTTGTCCCAAGTTAAACATTTGTAGCAAAGTTGATTTGTTCCACTTCAACATTCAGAGGCTTTTATTTATTTTTCCAGTTTAGGAATTGGGGGTTTGTATAAATAGTTTCTGTCCAAACATTAAACGGAAGAATATTTTTCTCCATATTGACAGGTAGTTCATTCCAAATCTCTACATGTTTTAAAATTGTATTCTAGGGAGTTTGTGCAGTTGAACTTCCTCAGATGCAAAGACCGCTGCAAGTGATCCCAAAAAAAGACAGCTTTCCCAAGGAAAGCGTTAATCTGAAGTACATGCTTTCTGAAGTGGGATGAATTGCAGAGTACAAAGAAGCAGTGAGTGTAACTATCAAATGAGATCATTCAGAGCCACATAAAGGCAGATTAGTAGTAAGCTGTCCAAAGAACATGAATATTCATGTTGTGAGCCATGTGGTTCAGATTCCCCAATACTGCTGAATTCAATCTTGGATGTCTCTTTTATGCCATTTTCCCTGTAACAGTTTCTGAAAGCCATCTGCATTATGCAGTACTGCTTCCTGCCCACACAGTGCTACAACAGGATCACCCTCACAATAAATAAATTCCATCAGAGAGGAGTCATCAAATGCTGGCATATTTCACCAAGGCTGCCTTCTGCTACCTGAGAGTGTAAGTCAGACTTGTGATCACTCTTTCTAGATATCTGCTATATTTAATGCACCCCCTGATTTAAGGGAAGACGGAACAGGACAATACTAGTTTTCCAGGTAGAATATTTTGCCTCTGAACTTGTGAACAGTCAGGTTTTCAGCTTAGTCCAAAATAGCAGAGTAAGTGACAGGAGGGTCCTGTTACAGATGCCAACAACGTGCAGTGGAGCTGCTGCTCATTAGGTTAAACCTAGATATTGCGTTCTGGAGCATAGGTTTGAGTTCTTTGCAGCATTTATCCAATACCAGTGATTGGGTAATAGGTATTCTTTGAGAATACTTCCTCCCATCCCAAAGTAGAACAATTAGTTCTGTAGATTGTGAGGTTCAGAATTGCTTTCCGAAGGGCCAGATTTTTTTTTTTACATCATTGTAAATCTGAAGCATCTCCTCTGATGTCAGGGCTATCTTTAAGAAAATCATCAGAATCAGTCTCTGGGATGAGCTACACCAACCCACTGCTTGTCTGTCTGTAGAATGGCAGCAGCGTGCCAAAGCAGTATCACACCCCAACACTCAGCAGAGCATGGGCTGCGCAAGTGAATGATGATAAGCAGTTCATGATTAAGGTAATGAGGGAGAGACTAGAGCACCAGGTACTGCATGCTTTTGTGCTTGTATCTGAGAATAGGCGATATATTGACCCATATGCAGTCTCTTAAAGTGGTGTCCTGGAAGTTTCCCTTCAACAGCACAGGAAGTACTGTTGTGGCCTTGCTTAAATATATATCTCTTATCACAGTCTGATAGTGACTTCCCAGACCTCAAGTTTGAAGCCTAGATTGAAGTCTTCCAAACTTGCAGAGACTAGATACTTTCTAAATACAGTTCCTTTGAAAGGTTTATTAGGCATCTCAAACATTTTAAAAGGCATCTAATAGGGCAGCAGCACTGTGGCAATGAGTTTTAGGTTGCTCAGACAACTTGAAAACCAGAAGCTTGGGTAGAAGGCAACAACTAGTTCTTGTTTCCCACAGAGAAATTAAGGCAGGAATAACACACAGTGTCAAGAGGAAGTACAAAGAGCCCAGAACCAACAGCATGCCAAGTGGATGTTGCATTCCTTTCTAGGATGAAGGAGGAGTGAGCCAGAGGTCTGGGTCCAGCAGAGAATGGAACAAATCAGTTGGGAAAAGCCAGCCATTTAGAGATGGAATCTCTCTGTAGTCTCATCATTACAGGAAGTACCCCTCTGCCTTCTTTCTGAGACAGTGTTTCCTTGCATTTCTTACTGCAGCTTCTA